TTGTTTCAAAGATTGAATTATGTATGACAATAATATTTCACTTTATAAACAATATTTCACTAAAATATGTGATTCAAAGGCAACCCAAATTGTAAAAAGCAATATCAAGTTCCGCGTATAAACACTGTTGTAAAGAGGCGGCGGAGGGGAATTTTAGCCAAAATCGGCTAGTAAGGCGTCATATGACACAGGTTTGTGCTGGGACAGCGCTTCCGGTGACGACACAACGGTAAGGTGTCATATGACACAGGTTTGTGCTGGGACAGCGCTTCCGGTGACGACACAACGAAGTACTCGGAATTGCGCACGCGCAAACAATCAGTAATGACGTATGATGGTTTAACAAACGGAGCTTAGGGTACGTACAATAAACACTTCACGATGTTGATTCAGTGCTTTTAGCGAGCTTATAAAGCATACAGAAGGGCCCGGTACCAAATAATTGAACTAGTTTCAGCTAATAGAACAGAAATAATTGCTATTCATGTAGAACACGTTTGCAATACAAAAAACTAGGTCGTTACAGCTAGTGTATCTTTAACGTCCAGATCTGTGAACATCAAGTTTAAGTGATGTTGTAAGGAGACAATAGCCTCAGGCAGTATCGGATCCATGACTTGTATTGGCTCTTCTTTCAGGGATAGCCTTCTAAATCTGTTTTCAATAACGGCTTTCTGTTGCTCAATACTTTTTGTCCATGCAGTCTTGATATCTGGATTTTTAGAACCAAGCTTTCTGATGTCATCCATTCCGCAACATTTCTTAAAGGCTTTTTCTATATCTTCTGCACATGGTTTACGTTCAATAGCACAGTTCTGCAGACCGATGTTGAGAATTGACATCACCCTTTCTGCAGGATTCACCCAGCTATGACCTGGTGCACACCTCGCTGTAATGAACATGTCCAGATTCAGTTCTTTGAAGATACAGATGGATGCACACTTAACAGCTTCTAAGTTGTTTCTGTGGTCTGTTCTTCCATCTGTATATTTCATGAGAATCTTCGGCTGGATCTCTGATGACTTGATTTGTTTCACCAAGGATGCCGGAATGGGTTGGAGGACTGAAACAGTCACTCACTACATGTATGACGGTAACAGTCCCACGGTAAAATGATTTTTGAGCATCATCTGGGATAAGGCACTTTAAGTAGACAGATGTGAGGCTACTTTTCTGGTGCAGATCATGATCAGCTGCAGATAACGTAGTAGTTGAGGGTACCAGACTTTTCTTACCTCGAACACCTGTGGCGATTTGAACTCCTGGTTCACCCATGTGAACTTTAGCCTTGTCATCACAGCAGAAGAGCATGCAGTCCTGCTTTAATATTACAGCATACTGTTTCAAATACTTAAATAGAGCTGCACAATAATGTGCATCCATGCGAGTGACTGAGTTGTCGCCTTTGAATTTTGTACTGGACTGCAAGTTTTGAGGTGAAATTCAGTGCAGAGTGAACATATGGATTTCTTGGTGTGAAATGTAATCGTACAAGTTTTTTCGAATGGATAAGAGCATCGGCTGGACAGCGATCCTTGGCTTGTTGGACCATGTCCTTCAGTGACAGCCAATGTGACAAATGGGCAACATTGTGGCGTCTTTCATCTGCTGCTGTGACTTCTTCTATGACTTCACCTAGCTTGGTGAAAAAAGCATCAAATGTGTCTGTGGGTCGGCCTGCATTCAAACTTCTCATGTCTGAAATAAGTCCTGTCTCACCTAAGAAGATCAGCCTCATACGCTGTACAGTATCTGGATGAGCTGCTGCAGCAGAATCCAATGAGAGTTCTTTATAGATCATGTCCGCCACCGCAGGTTGAACTGTTGCAATGTTTTGTAGCCTTATTTTGAACCGATGTTTCATGAGCCTTGTGTGATACACAGGCAAGTTGGGTTGAATTTTAGCCATGACTGATGCCACTTCTGTCAGCTTTTGTTGTTCTGTCCTACTTTCTGTTACTTTGACAAAACAGTGAATGGTAAAAATACTCCCACCTGGACAGTACTTGTATACATCTACAGAAACTGACAGTTGCAAGTTTTCAATAAAGCGAAAACAATGAATGTTATTCTGGAATGGTTTTTCTATGTGCAGATCTTCATTGAAGAATACAGGCTCCAAAAGCTGTGCCATGTTGATAGCTTTATCAAGTTGAAGGTATTCATGTCTAACAGCATGAACAGATTTGTGTACACTTCTCGCTGTAGTATTTTCTGAATCCTCTCTGACAGGGTGGGTTGACATGTATAGCATTGATATCTTTCTTCTTCAGATCCAAGTATGTGCTATAAGAAATAAAACAATCGGCATGGGCCTTTATTTGCTTTTGTATGAACACTGTGTCACATGTGTTAAGACTTGGTCTTGTGCATAATCTGTAAAGTGCATCTGAATGACTTTTCAGCTGGCCACTCCAACGGATTGGATTTGAGTTTTTTTCTCAGACACTCGTTATAGCCTTGGAATTGATCAAACACAGGTGGGATAGCACTGACTGTGGACTGTCTGAGGCTAGCATCACGTATAACTTGGTGTTGATTAGTAGTGTACCATAAGGCATTAGTTAGTGTCTGAAAAAAAAATCATTTCTGTGTCAGGAAACATACAAAATTGTTAAAGTTAATAGAAAATGGTCCATAGCATTTTATTTTTGCACCTCTCCCCTATTGATTTGATTTTCAGCTTTTTTCCCTGAGCATTTCTTCGCTATTCAATATCATCCAAATCATTTTGGATATCCATTATTTCCAAGTGAAAATCTGTCATGTTTGAAATCCAATAAATCTGTCATATATACAGTTGTTGAAAATCAGTCAAGAGGGAGGTGTACACATTTTATGCAATGACCACATTCTACCTACACCATGCTGAAATCTAGAATTTAGAAATTCATCATACCCAGAAGAATAGCTACACTAAAAAGATGAATGCTTTAAAGTAAGATATTTAGTGTTAATTTATGCAACAAGCTACCATATTCTACACCATGCTGGAACTAGTGCATTTTAGTAAAAAAAAAATGGTTGATTTGTGTTTAGTTTTTTTTGTTCGTAGACGTTTTTTCAGCGAGTGAAAATCGCCATGGTTAACTCTATGGG